AGCCGCCACTGCTGCATTTCCCAGTGCAATCCACAGCCACTGGATTTTCCCACCCACTGAACTCGATACACCACAATACAATGAACTTACACAGAAAATGGATGAACAGTTGGGGCTAGCTGGGCTTCCAGACAGACTGGATCCTCTGCCTGCCCTCACGTAAGTGGTGGTGAATCTTGCTCTGCCTCACACAGCACAAGGGTTGGAATAAAATGAAAAGAACACTCTGCAATGCAAACAATCAGCTCTAACATGAGACTTTCCCTGCTAGGACCTCCACCATCTTCCTCATCATGTCACCTGTCCCAGGTCATCTGTAATCAAGAACGAGCAGTGAGAATAAAGTTGGGTGGGAAGGTTCCCAGGGGTTGCAAATGCCAAACGAAGCTAGAAAATCGTGACCTTTAATTGTATCAGTATTTTTTTTAAAGTGAATAACCAAACAGAAGACCAATCATACAGTTATCCTTCAGCTCACAGCAAACAACCAACAAGGCCCTCAAACCCCAAAACACAGGTGCTTAACTTGAATACGTTATTAGGAACAGATGTCAGCCCTTAAAAGAAGTAAGAGCTTACATTTCTTAAGTCTTTAGAAAAACATAAAGCAGAGGAGTGAAATTAAAGGGAGTATGCAGTATTTTTAAAAATTCATTTGTTCAGATATTTTTGTCAGTACACTACATAGATTGGAACAATCTGGCTCAAAACAGATTAGGGTTTAACAAAGCTGTCGTTTAGAACAGTTTAAAATAGCAACATCCCTCTGAGTGTGCTGGAATTTTAACAATCACTTCAGTAAAGGTCAGACTATGAACTTATGCAAATCAGTACCTTTCTCATATGGCAGAAGTCTTTGACTTTCTCCTTCAAGGACTTGCGCTTGCTAGACCCAACCCTGTGACTGCTTTGTGTCACTGCGGAAGCGATGGGCATCTAAGCGGCACAGAACAGAGACTGCAATTGGGTTAATAAGTACCCATTCTCTTAATTGTTGAGAATCAAGGAAGATTCTTGATTTTCCTGTAACTATGACAGCCTTTGCTTTTTCATACATTTAACACCTCTGGGATGAGTGATTTCACAAAATGGGGCAGAGGATACTAAGGAATAACCAGGCTTATCAGAAAACCAATGTTTAACTAACTCAACCCTTAACTCTCATGCTAGTTGCGGGAAAGAGCATTACACAACTGAACAACAACAACAAAATCTCGAACTATTCACATTAACAAATTCAGCTATTTGCATATATTACATCACGAGGTGTCTCCCAGGCAGACTTCCGAAAACTTTAAAAATCCATTAAAAGTGGGCTATGTAGAACTTTCTGCTGCAGCAACTTACTGCTTTTGCAATTCAGCTAACCAAGACCTGAAAACCCCCCAAACAAACCAGAGAATCCACACCCCCATCACTGCAGAAACTGATCCCTCATTACAGGTTTTGGCTAAAAAACAATACAGGTTTTGGCTAAAAGAAGTAAAAAAAAAAAAAAAGTCCAGCAGTCTCAGAAGAAAACATGCACCACGAGGACAAGAGAGAATCTGTTAATGGCTCAAAGGCTTCCCCGATGAAGATGCTTCACTTTCCTCCAAGGAGGATGGAGGTTCAGCAATGAGTATTTCAGATTACTACACATTGTTGTATTCCAGTTAAGAAGCCTGCACCAAGTTGAAAAGTTAGGTTATTTTAAGCTTTTTTTAAAACTTGAAATCAACAGTCATTAAGTGGATGCTGCTCATAAATATTTTCTCATGTCGTTTTTGACTGCTTTAGAAAGATAAGTATACATTCTTCCTATTTTACAAGTGTAGAACAGATGCAGAAACATTTAATGTGCAGTGAAATTGGCCAAGTCACTTAATAGGAGACCGCACAGTAAGACCTCCCCTTGCTCCTTGTTAAAAACCACTAGACTATGCATAGAGGGGATGTTAAAGATTGTCACACAGCAACCTAAAAAAAACCCTAACAATGCTACTTTCTAAATAACTACCCCTCAACTGTCCCACTATTACCCCCAGTATTCACAAAAAAACTGAGTAATCACTGCAATCCAGGTATGCAATCTGTGCTTTGAAAATATTTCAGACTTCTTGGGGGGGGGAGAAGGTTGATTCTAACACACATGCTCCTGCATGTATGCTGCCTCAGAACACGAAATAAAAAATGTCTTTCCTTCATACTGAATGAGCTAAATGGACTGACACGCATTCTTCTTTTAACGATCTGCAAACATGATATTCATAGCAACATTATATTGACAACATGAGACCGTATACTGCACGGCCAATTTTTCCACAGTGCCAGCTTGCAAACACAGGGTATTTTGAGCGTGGGGGTGAGAAAGTAGCTATGTGGATGATAAAGTGGCAAAAAAGGAGAAGTGCAGAGAAATAGGTAAATATATTCTAGCAAACCTCTGGCCTAGCCAGATATAAAAAAGAGTCCTAAAGGAAAAAAAAAGCAGTATTACGTAGGCATTTAGTTTAATTAGACAATTATAAAGCATTCATGATATACAAAACCATCATCTTAAACATGGATTTAGTAGATCAGCTACTCACATTTTTGTTGCAAATGCAGAATTTCAAAAATTACACTATATGCCAAGAAAAGGTAAGTCAATAATGTTATATAAACCAGTTATTATAGTCCCTTGACATGCGCCTGCACAACTCTTCTGTTTCTGTCAAAAAATTAATACATATTAGGCAATATCATCTAAATAATTGTAAACAAAGACTGCTTAGAACAAGTATACTCAATAACAACATTGTTAACTTGCACAAATCACAACGCAGAATGTATGTGTGTAACGAAAGCATGTTGGCTCAAACCCATGTTTTCTTTTTCAATATTGCACTTAATGTTTGCTGTCTTCTGGAGGACCTGAAGGATGAAAGCTTCAACTAAGATCCAGCTGATACAGACCAAGATTTTAATTTTTATCTTTTTGCTTAGGTAGTCTTCCTTACTTATTTAAGCAATAAACAGGAAAAAGTTATAAAATACCACTGTGTGCATATTAGGAAATAGCAAACATGATCGAAGCAGGAATTTTGTCATCATAGCTTCTCTAGAGTAACAGTGGAAAAATTCTTACAGCCAAACCAAAAAACATACTGTTAAATCAAATCAGACTGTGTTCCATTTCTGCAAGTAGTGCTGAAATTCCAACCAGAGTTACGTCCCATGTAAATACGTGCATGGCAAGTGGCAAAACCCACCAAATAACCCAGTACAACTGCAACTCTCATTGCAGTCTCCACATAAACTGATGCTGAAAATCCTGAACTTAAATGTCTGAAGTGTATAAGCAGCCAAAACTCTGTAAACCTCACTTTAAGACCTTACGCCATTTTATTAGAAATCATGGTTTGCAATTTAAGATTCCCTGGGGAAAAAAAAAAATAATAATGAAGCCAGCAGAGTAGCAAAGAAACCATGCAAGCTTCCTCTCATTTTAGGGAAACTTTACTAGTCTTGGTTTGACTTTTAATTTTGGGTTGTCAAACACAAGTACAACAACTTGCAACCCAAAGGCCAATATTTAAGAAAACAATTTAAACAAACTTAAAGTAAGATCCAAACACACGTAATTTCCTCCATTCCAACATTTAAGCTCTGGACTTGAAACTCAGCACTTGACAAGGATCCTCTGTAAGTAACCATTTGAAAAAAGATCATTAGAGTTATATGCCCCCACCTCAGAGAGACCATTTACTAAAAATTCCTAAATTAAATACATAAAAGTGTGACAATGCAAACAATTTGCCTCTTTTTTGCAAGACAATTTGATCATAAAGTTCTTAGAACTATTCTAAAAATTACCTCAGATAACTGAGAATTTTTATCATTGCAATTAACTGATTTATTAAGTGTTCTGGTAAAAAGTATAATTAAGGAATATTCTTGGATTAACTAATCCAATGGAATGCAATATGCAAACATTTACTTTCCCCCTCTCTTTAAAATTGTTTTGAGCCACCTCAAGGGGGGTCTATCAGAAAAATACTTCAGTTTTGTGTACCTAACAACACAGTAATATCTTCAGATGTTTAGATCTACCTTTCAGTTTTGGACATAAAGTAATTCAACTTTGGGATGCAGTTACTAATGTCAGAAATGCAACAACTACTTTCTGAAAAGAATATGATTCTGCAATGGCTGCCTCTTTCAGTGTGGAAAGAAATTTACTACCCAGATACACTGGTTCATAATTATAGAGAAATATTTGAATATGAAGGTTGAAATTTTTTTCTCCTGATATTACACCAGGAAGGGTGAACAACAATGTTAAAAATGAGACTTAACTGTCTGAAGAAGGTGAGGTGAAGGAAGCACTTGCCTAGTATGATCATTTGACTCTAACTCTAGAACAAAGTTTAATATCACAGAATGTAAAAAGAGTCAGTAATAAAATAATATACATTAAGTATTCCTCTTACTTCTGCTAATAGGAACACACATCCACGGTTTTCTCATTTACCAAAAGCCTTTGTAAATGACCTGATTCTATAGAGCTTCTTTTTTTGTAGATACTGTAAACATTTAGAATTTCTAAGGCTAAAAACAGGCACAAGTCTTCCATGAACAGTTATTATTTCTAAAACCATTAAGGAATATATTCCAAATCTGCTATCCCTTTTTGTAACAATGGAAGTAACTGAAATACAGTGTTATAATTCACCATGCAGATTCTTAATTAAAAAAGAAATATAGCTTAATCGTGACAACAACTAATGATATATAGGGAATACTTTTTTTTTCTTTTTCCAGATGATCTGTTACATCAAAATTACATTTCCAGAATCTCTGTGCTGGGTGTAACTCAATTTTATAAAGTTGTAAGTTTAAGCAGTGACTGAAACATTTCTAAGTGGATAAAATTCAACCACATTATGTCAGCATTATTAGCACCTCAGCTTTATAACAATGCAGGTGAGATCTGCAATACCCATTTTGCAGACTATGATACTAAAGCCACATGGTACGTGGAACCTTTTAAAAGATGTTAGATGCTCTTCTCCATAATTTCCATGAGGTGATTTTGTTTTGTGCCTCGTTAAGGTACCTGAGCCAACAGTCTTGTTTCAGGCTGGTTTTTCAAGATTTCAGAGGTTTTTCAACCTCGGTGACAGGCTCCCCCTTTTGCTGAGCAGCTACGCATTAGCCAACATTTCAGCAGACTGATTCCAACACATGTTAGCAGCAATGCATTTCCAGAGACACGCTGCAAAAATATTAAAAGCAATTGTTGTCTAGAAGTCCTCTTGTCCCCTGCACCGTTCTGGACAAAATAACTCACCACCAAGTAATCTTGAATTCATAGATAGGACGCTTGCAGTAATAGTGATTTATCAGGTGTTTATCGCACACCCCGATACACTGATGATCCACAGTTATCCCTCTGTCAGACAGGTCTGTCACAATGCAGTGCAGAAGATCATATACATCAGCTACAGCCTCCCAGGGGCCAAAAGATACATCTACTTCGCAGTGATGTTCAAACAGCTTTGTCTCACTTTCACTCCTTTCAAACCGTAAGGAATTGAAATGCGGGCATTCATAGGGAGTGATGGGCATCTCTTCTTTGAAGACACAGACCTTCAGTTTTGCAAATCTTGCTTTTCTTTGCATAGCTCTAAGCTTTGCTATTTCGATTATCCGTTCCAAATGATCTACCAAAAAAAGGAAAAAGTTGAAAATAACAACGAAGCACCCAGTAAAAGAAAACAAATGCAATTATTTCATGTGAAACATATTACTGCAACGTTTATCAAGTTATTCTTCACATAGTATTAGCAGCAACAGGAAGCTTCAACTGCAGCTCCTAACAGAACAAATGGAGAGGCAGAGAAACCTTCTCCTGTAATAAGCCTTGCATGTTATGGCCTAGATCTTGCTCCCTTTTAAGACAGCACAAAAATCCGCATCCTTGGATACAGCAGGAACAAATCTGACGTGGAGACCTCAAAGATCTAAAAAGCATGAAAAGTACGTAATAAACTTCTCAAATACAATGGAATTAGTTTGAAAGCTGAAAGCAGACCTGCAAGCACCATGTATACTACTTGAATCGCGCTAGAAGAAACAGTCAATACTACTTTGTTTATTTACCTTTGTAATATGGCATTAGGCCCAGGAAAGCTTGTCTAACTTTTTCTCCTTTAAGAGGCTGGATGTCCTCTAGGTTGTCTAGCAATGGTCCTATGGAATAATACTGTGCTTCCTTGTAAACTGACCTCACTCGCTCTCTTGGCGGCAGGTCACCAGATCGTAGAAAGTTAAGTATGTCTCTAAAAAAAGGCAAAAATGTTATTAAGTAACAAGTTTCCACCAGAATGGCTGCAGGTAGGAAAGGAGAGAAAACGCTGAATATTCATTGTTTATTCTATTGAGATAGAAGTCCTTATGCTTCGACAGCAACTGAAATAAGTCTGAGTCATATTTGCAACATATGTTTTTAAAAGCATTTGCCATGTTCAAGTTCCAGGTCAACATTTCACATTCTGCCTCTGTTAATGTCAAAACTCATTCAAAAAATATAATCATATTTTAAAGAACAAGTTCAAAGTGGAGGAACAACTCAAAATAGAAGAGAACACACAGTACTCTATGGGAAAGATATCATAGTCACTGTATTTCAAAGTTAGGTCTGTGACAAAATAATCTTTTTAATTTTCCTAGAGAATCATATGCACGAGCTTTTTATCCCACACAGAACCAGGATTCTATCTGACTGGATGATGCATTTCCAAAGGAGGTGTTCTCTTCACAGGATCAGGGCCATATACACTTGTAGTATATAATACTACTAGAACATTTCCTTGTAGGTCTGAAACACTGATAAGGTACAAGATTTTTTAACAGGGAAAGAAATCACTTTATAAGCATTAACCAACAAAACTATTATTGACCATATCAAATAAAACAAGCATTACTGCAATCTTCATTAGAATGTCAACAAATACAGCACGTGCTAATTTGGCTCTCTGTTCCAGCTATCTTTTCAATTCAAATTGATAACATTACAAATTAATTGCTTTTCCAGCAAAGCGGCAGGCACTTCCAAACTGCCAAATGTAAAGAAACTATTATTTTCCAATAAATACAGTGGCTTAATCTATTTCTGTCCCAGATTATCGTACAATCCAAATGTGCTTTGAAAATAATTCAGTCCTTCTCTGTTGAAGAGATTAAGGAAATGTCAGCAAAGGAGAAACAAGAAACGTAAGTTAAATTGCAAAGTGTGCTTTGGGCAAAGAACCCATGAACGTTAACCCATGAACACTGCTTACCTTTTCTAGAAATCTCACACCAATTCAAACAAAATATTAGTAAGATCATAGTTAATTTAATTAAAAATAAAACAAAAGCTAAACACTTAAGAAGGAATCCTGAAGGTGAAGGAATATGGTTCTACCAGCAAAACCAATTTAAGAAAGAATTCTTTGAGGCTTGTGCTTTTTTACCAGTTACCTTATATCCTGTTTAAACACTGAAAACATCGTATGTTCAACTGTTTAAGAAACCTAGATGCATTCCTTCCATTCCCTCTTTATCATAAATACTGTAGTATCAATTTTTAAAGTGTTGTACAAAACAGCTATCAATGCCAAATACATTATTTTTTAAAACATCAAAACAACTTGCTACCTTGAAAGGAGATACTCTAGAGGAGACAATGTACAAATTCAAAACAATAATTGGTTTTCTTTTCCCATTGTAAAAGTTAAGCCCTTAAAAATAAAATATAGTTTTTAAATTGCAATATACTCTTCTCTTGTGATGCTTCAAAGGTGTGGATGCCAGCCAGTCACAATTACCTACTACACAAATATGATTTAACTAGAAGGAAAAATAAAAAGTTAGTACTTGTTTTTCTTTAAAGTAACTTTCTTCAGTAACAACTGAAGGGTGGTGAAACACTGGAACGGGTTGCCCAGAGAGGTAGTGGAGGCCCCATCCCTGGAAACATTCAAGGCCAGTTGGACAGGGCTCTGAGCAACCTGATCTAGTTAGTGGTGTTCCTGCTCGCTGCGGGGGGGTTGGACTAGATGACCTCTAGGGGTCCCTTTCGACCCAAAACCTTCTATGATTCTAACTTCTAAAGTATACTACTGAGGACACCGTACATACCCAAAGTAGGTTCCATCTCTGTCAATAAAGTATCTGCCTTCAGCATCTGTTGGAATATAGTGCCTTCCACTGAACATAGCCGCCAACATCGTGTCCTCGTAACGTCTCAGTGTTGACAGTCTTGTTGTAAAATACATGCCTCCTACGTTTAGTGGAACAACTTCTGGAAACTGCAAAAGCAATCACATCATCAGAAATGAGCCTCTAGTCCTTTGCAGACATGTTCAGGCCAAAAGGGCTGCAACTTCTAGAAGACACAGCATACCGTCTTTGCCACTGTGACATAACTTGGTCTCGCAGAGGCTTTTTCCCTGGCCTGTTGTCACAAAAAACGAGTTCAAGGGTTAACAACTTGAACACTTTGGCTGCTTCCGGGTGTAACCGGTGAATGTGTGCATTTGTCAGAAATCCGAAACAGCAGTAATCACTCAGCTTTAGTATCAGATGTTCATTAAATGCATGAATGCCTCCTCTTGGCTCTTTTAAGGAAAGAAAAATACAAAACCAAAACCCCTCCCCACCCTTAAACACACACACACATGCACACAAAAGGTACGAAATCTGAGGCCAACCTTGGGACTTGCACTCAGTTGCTACTCTACTGGTTCCTTTACACTACTATGCTATACGCTGAAAAAAACCTGTGATTCTGTGTTTACATCAGGATTACAGCAGGCCTAAAAATCTCAGTATCACGCTTTCAGATGCCTCGGTACCAGAATAAACACTTAGTTTTATTTGTCAAGTCTAAACACGGATGGAAATTCTGAGTAATCCTGCCAAGCTGCCGAAGTAAAATTCAAGAGACAGTTTTATTCAACAATTTAGCTACTAATGGAAACTGAACTGGATATCCATAAATACTCCAGCAAAGCAATCCTGAGTCCTTTGGCACCCGAGCAGTACGTGCCGCAGTAACTGGACCTTATCAGATGAACAGTACCAGAGAGCTCTTACCTGCTGAGGCAGCAGAGGTAGCGCTTGTCCTGCCTGGGTTGCAGTAGGAGTGGCTGGCTCTTGGAAATCATCCTCTGCATCTGAGCTCGACATGGCATCATCCGGGTCTCCGCTCACTTTGTTCTGCCCTGTAACTACCACCATCCCTCTGGCTCTGGTCAGCAGGTCTGCTGGGTAGGCAGCCGTGGCAATGCTAAATGGGAAACAGGACCCAAATCACTCCGGCACTCTCCCCACCAGCTGCAGATCGCGCGGCCGGCAAGGCACGTCCCTCCCCGGCTTTACACCGATAATTTACAATGGCTTTGTTATTACGGGGAAATGAATCACAGCGAGAATGACTATTGTGCTGAGAAACAAACTCGGGGAGGGCTGTCTCTGCAGGAACGCAGTTTGCAGAGCTGGCTGGGTAAGAGACCGGCGTCCATTGGCTGCGCGGTGCCGGGCGTGATTGGCTCCGCCACGCTTTTGCAGCAAAATGTCATTTGCTGGGTGCGTCTGGGTGGCTGCTGTCCCACCTCGGCCACCGCAATAGGCCATCTGCAGAAGCACGTCCTGAAATGCGGGCGCTCATTGGCCGTGCGCGCTGTGCAACAACCGGACTCCGGCTCCCCACCGAGCTCCCCGTCTGTCACCTTCAGCTGCAGAAGCGGAGCAGACCCTGCTACGGACAGTGGCAGGCACCTCTTCGGTTCTAGCATGTCCTGTGAAATGAGAAAATGGAGCTTTCTAACCAGACAGAGAAAGCAGACTTTTTCCTGCCCACTGCATCACATCGTACCGTACACAAACGCACGTCTCTGATACGCATGTATTTAACTCCACATATTACCTTGTGCATTTACTGCTAATTATCAATTTCCTTTCCTGCCCAGAAAAAAATGCATAGCAGCACCAACTATAATGCTTTCACAGTCCATCTTCAACCAGAGGATGGGACAGACTGACAATAACGTGCATTATGAAAATAATAATTGAAAGAGCAGAGCAGGAAAGACTAGAAACCCTGCTGTTCTCTTTACACTGCATCCTTATGTAAAAAGTACCTCTGTTTACAGGATTGCTGTGGTGTCTCTGGTGGCATCACATCCTAACAAAGACATTATGCTACTGGAGGTTTTATCCAGCTTTCTAACTCTGCAAGCTCTTTCTCTCAAATCACTATAAAATGTAAAAAGAGAAAATATTTGCACAAGCACATGTGGCACATTTATTTATTGACTAAATGTTTCATAAAGGTTGCTTCCAATCAAAATCAACAAGCAGAAATGACATATTTTAATAGCCATTTAATGATTCATTATTCTGCCTTACTAATTCTCTAATACAGTCATTAGGCACATCGTCAGGCTGTCTGTAGATTTTAGTTCTTAAAGAAAAAGCTGCAAGTTAAAATGAACCCAGACAAAACTGGGATGCTCCTGGTCAAAACAGACACTCTTCAGAGAGCTGATCACACCAAAACCTCCACATTCTGTGGGAGAGTACATAGCTGCCTTTCACAAAAATTTGGAGGTGAATTCTAGATCCTGTTTAACACCCTAATAAACCTAGATAAATAGGTAACATGAAGTTTCGAAAATTTCCTTTTAAACACCAGCTTGTTAAGAGGTTTGTCTCGGCTCAGGATAGGTATTTAATTTCTCTTCTCTACAGTTCAAAAGATGGACTTCCACTTCATAATCATTTTTCCACCACAGTACAATGCACAAGCACATAAATAAGGATGGAAGGGCTTCTTAATGTCCACACCTTATTAACGATTTTAATATTTATCCTGAAACAACATTTATTTTGACACCATCAATTATCAAAACAAGCCAGCTATGACTCACAGATAAAGAGCATATACAACACAAATGAAAGATTATTTTGGTAGGGACAAAAATTCGGTAAACAAATTATCATCATGAAACAGCTTGTAGAAGCTTAATTTATAAGATGTATAGCCAAAATTGAGTGTGAGGCTGTATTTACTGTCAATTCATAATGCTGTTACTTGAAACCAGTGCTTTGACTGCTCTACTTCCAGCTCTTAGGAGAGTTCAAAAGAACTCTAGACTGACCAAAAATGTGATCTTTAATTGTCCACATTTTTTTAAGAATGTCCCATAGCTTTCACGTAAATGGACCATACTCTGAATAAACAAAATTCAGCTCCATTAAGTATATCAGAATCATGGAACACAGAATGTGTTTCAGGTAAGTTCATCAATTTGGCATTGTACCAAAAAGGCCCTCTTTCCCACAGAAACAGAGGTTTGAGAAGATGGAATCCTTCTTCCTCTTTCATAATCCTCCTTGAACATGACACCAGGGTTTAGGGAAAAACATGAGAGGATAGATTAAGTATATTATGCTCATGAGTAATAAACTTCTTTTCTATTGGAATGTTCACACAAAGCAATCTCCTAAACAGTGAGGTTTAGCATACAAAATCTCAGCCCATAATTAGTCCAGGATTTAAAAAATAAGATTAGTGGCAGGAAAATGAAGAGATTGACCACTGACAAGTTTAACCTGCTTTCTGACGTTCATTAAAAGGCAACAGAAGTTTCTCTCTAGGTTTGCTTCACTTCCTGTTCATCCACAGACATGGAGTAGCGAAACAGCAGTATGCTGACTGGAGCAGAGAGTCTTCCTAAAAGAAAAACGTAAGCTAGTCACTGGCTAGTTTGCTGACATACAGTCTTCTGCATTCTGGTTCTCTGCATTTCGGTTCTCTCCATTTCATGACGAATACGCATCCATCTGAATACCCTCTTCTTGCCACTTCAAGCATACACAATAATTATTATTAACTAAGCACAAAAATATTTCTTTGTTAAATCTCTCAATAAAGTTGCACGGTTTGTTTTGTTTATTTAAACTAACTAAATGCATCCATTTCATTTTCAAATACGTCTAGGGCCAGATCAACAGATAATTAATGAGAAAACGCCACCAACAGGCAAAATGATTTCTATATCAAGTATTTAATTGAACCACACGTCAGCACCATCCAGCACTACCAGAAATACCTCCTTCCAGTTTACAAGCTACCTGTCATTTAAATAGCAGAGGTTACTTCCCGGAGCTTTGTTACTGACAGCTCAGATACCAGCTCACATACAGACGCCAAAGCAAGCTTACTAAATGAACCGGACGCACCAGTTTTGCTTCATTCCCTAGGGAACAACAGCAGCCCTAGAGCTGCATGGAGTTTTACTTGATACTAAGACTCCAAAAAGCTTTTCAAGGGTCTGCTGTTCCGTCAACTTTTCCACATCAGTTTAAACAACTTTCTCTTAAATACCTTCTGAGGTTATGCCGGTGTTGGCAAAGTTACATACCTATAAAAAAGTGACACAATGATTAGACAGTCAAAGTCTTTACCATTAAGGTACTGATGTATGCATCCATCATAGGAGACCTACAGAAACTGCTGTTCAGAGCCGACCAATTGGAACGTGCTTGTTCTGGGGAGATAGCGAGCAGACTGTTAGGAAGGCTCTCCCTTTCTCAAGAGAAACTGGGTCCCTGTGAGGACGCAGAATGAGAGGTGACTTAGCAGTCTCTCCGTACCTCAAAAAGACTCAGATGATCAAAGGTTTATGTGAAAAAAGAGGGAAAAGACATAATATCCAGTTAATTCTAAGGTATCTGCATCAAATTAGCAAAGAAACATCCTGAAAAAGGGCAGGGATCCCTGAGCTGCAGTAAGCTGTATTACACACCTGACCATAACACTCCGGACACCCTCAGCGTCTCTAGACATTCGCAACAGACAACACAGCGTATGGTGAAGGGATGCTGTCACTTTAGCGCTGGAGAGCAAAGACTGGGAGGATACGACGAGACGCCTCACCACCAGCGGCCTGGGGCAGGAGCCGGGCAGCAGGGAGGCCTACCCCCAGGACAGCGGCCAGGCCTACCCCGAGCACAGCAGGGAGGCCTACCCCCAGGACAGCGGCCATGCGGGCCCCGCTCGCTGGCCGCAGCAGCTGTCGCCTAAAACGGCGGCTC